ATATATATATATATATATATATGTATGTATGTATATGTACACGAGTTGAAATTAGCCTCATTGAGTAATATTTGTGTTTGTATGGTAGGGCCAATGTGTGTGAAAATTGCAAACTGTAATGAAAAGGAAGTCAAAACTATATAATAATATTATATGTGTGATAGCTAGCTTAACAACCTTGACAATTACTTAAAAAGAAAATATGTGTGTAAGTTGGAGGTTGAAAGTGGCATCATATTGGCTTTATTTACACCAAACAACACATGATTCAAATTAAATTGTGATTGGAGAGATACGAAAAAATTGAAAATAAAATTAATAGTTAGTTAGTTAAAAGTTGTGATAAAGAAGCAAACTTCTTTTTTCCCCTAAAGAAAATCATTGTTTCCTTCTTAAAATGGCAAATCTCTTTAACCACCTCTTTATGTCATGACTCTTTAGAGGACAAAGTATTTAAGTGATATACATGTTAGAATATAAATAGTTTTTTATATTATCAGATTATTTTTATTTGTTATAGCAAAAAATATATTTCATTTTAAAGATTTCAAATATTATTTTTCTAGAAAGTTTATTTGTAAATATCATTTGAATAATCTAACGGTGTATAACAGTTAAACTCAAAAACAAATGAGTTTAGCTATGATGCATTGATAGTGTAAAATGATTTTTTGCATTGTCAGGGCACGTAAAACAAAACCGAAGAAATCGTACATAAAAAGTAAGATTAGTAACCTAAATTAAACCAGTTATAACAAGTTAAAATATAGTGATAATATAATATCTTTAACATAAGTTAAAGTCCAAAAAAGAATTTGGAAAACTAAAACCACAATCATCATTTTTGATAATCTTCCATAACAACCAAAAGAGAAAGAGTTTAACTTATACATCTGTTTAAATGTCTTATAAATTAAAGATAACTAAATGTAGTAACTTGAAAAATAAGACGTGTAACTTGTTACGATAGGTTAAAATATATTGATAATGTAAATAGTACTGTACAATATTATTAATTTATTAGTGTATATAAATTAATTTTTTTTTAAAATAATTGGTAAAACAAAACCACCAAACAACAATCTTGATAATCTTCTATAACAAGCAAACACAAGCAATCAACATATAGTCTTCCCTAACAGCAAGCTATAATGAGAATTTTGTTGTAACCAAATCTTATTATTTTTAATTTAAGAAAATAATGGAGAAAAACATGTTAAATTTGATTTTGTGAAGTAAAAAGCAGATAAATGATGGGACCCTATTTATTGTCCTTCTAAAGTTTCTTAACTGTGAAATAATTTAGATAATAATTGAATGAAAGTTTTAAATCTTCTTTCCCTTTATTATGGATTATTAAGTTGATGATTAAGTAACAAGGCATTATAAGTGATAGTGATGGGTGTGACATTATTAATCACCTAATTAAAGATTAATTATTATTTTCTACTATTGTTGCTTGTTAGTAAATTTTTATGATGGATTGTACTTTGCATAAATTGTCTAGTAATAATTTATTACTAAAAGATATGAATTTATAGCAATCTCTACTTAAACACAAGGAAAAATATGAGGTTTTCTATGAAAAATCGTCTGAAATGTTACCAATAAGCCATTTTACAAGGGATACTGCTGAAAATTTATATTTTAATTAGTAGTATTCACACTTTGCACGATTAACTGGCATGAGTCATTTTCATGCTAAATTAATTACTTTGTATAAATTGACAGTGAAAGAAATTATTTGCACGATCTAATCACTTATTAGGTAACTAGTAAAATTATCCGTGCTTCGCGCGGGTATTTAATATAACGGAATTTATAAAATAATACTTAAAATCTATCAGTCATTAAAACTAAAACATTATATTATATCTTACATACAAGATTACATAGTAACAAACATTAATGATGTAAAGGAGTACATCTTATCATTTATCCTCAATAACATAAACATAAATTAATGACTGTAAAAATACATACCAGGATCTGTAACATAAGTAATTGTGTCAGTGAGTCACTCAACAGGAGCAAAGTATACAAATATTTAATTGTGAAGAAGAAGACGTTAAGATTTTTCGTTGTTTTAAAATGAAAGGAAATCTCTCTATTTATAGACAACAAAGGGTAGTGTGAACAAATGTTTATTGTGCTTTATCGGAAAGGCTACAACTATTCGGAAAAGTTGCAACCTTTCGGAAAGGTCACAACCTTTCATAAAAGTCGCAATTTTTCATAAAAATCGCAACTCTTCATTAAAGTCGCAACTTTTCATAAAAGACATAACTTTTCATAAAAGTCATAACTCTTCATTAAGGTTGCAACTTTTCATAAATGTCGCAACTTTTCATTAAAAAAAGGCTAGTTTTGGAAATAAATAAATTAAAGGAAAATTTTGGTTTGTGGTGACGCCACGTAGGCGGACCTAAGTTTCTCTTATATATATATATATATGATATATGATTATAGGGGGGGATAAGTAACTTTCTATATAAAAGCCTTAACAATATGCTAAGTTGCTAACTAATTATCTACCTTAATATATTAAAGTATTGATTCAAAGAATCAAATGATCACATTTCAGATTCAAGAATTAATGAACTAATGTACTCGCACTAACTTGTAGCTTACACCTTTTTCATCAACTTCAATCATTATCTCTTTCCATTAAAAGATGTACTTTACTCTAACAATTTCTAATTCTTGTAATGTATCATATAATTGTCACAAAGTAAGAATATAGATAAATTAATTTAGTTGTATACTCATGAGCCTCCCCCACCCCCACCCCCACTCCCACACACAAAAAAAAAAAAATTACCCAAATTTAGAAGGGAAAAGAACACAAATTCATCAATTGGAACTTCATCTCTATCCAAAAATAGAGTTGGTAAACTTTTGAAACTCAATTTTATTAGGCTAACTACTTGTAGATCCAATTACTAGGATATATGATTCTTCAAATAACTTAATCAAATCAAATCAAACTACATAAAGTTCTTGAATTTGATCACTTCTAGAAAACAAAACATAGTACAAGTTGCCTTCTTTTGTTTACATAACAGGCAGTTTGATGCCTAAAGCATTTCGCGTTAGCAGGTTGGAGGAAAGGATTGTAACTTAAAGTAGTGTGATGTAAAGAAAAATAGAAAGAACATAAACATTGGTATGTACACTATTAGTATTTACATTTCTAGCAAACGATATAATCAGCAAAATAAATAGTAAACCAAATGAATATATCTTGAAAATACTCAAAATAATGGTTGACGCCCGATCAAACATACAAATAGTCATCAGATTCATATGAGCTATTGAGGAGTAAGCAATGATCTTCTTAAATCTATCTATCTTAAAATGGTTGAGGAAGTATATATTATAGCAATCGCACTTAAAGTACATAAACGAAAGGAATGGAGTAGGATGGTCAATGCCCTCATCCCTTAATTAACTAGAGATTTTGAGTTCAAATCCTGATAAATAGATAAATTTTATGTAGGGATCCTTTGACCTCTTTATTGGTCTACCCGATGCAAATACAAATAAATCAAGCAAGTAGTAAACCTTTTTACCTTTATTGGTTTACCCGAATCAAGCAAGTAGTAAACCTTTTGTCCTTTATTGGTTTGTCCGGTACAAACGGGCAGATAAATCAAGCCAATAAGAACGTTTTATCCTTATATTGGTCTACTCAATGTGAATTCAGATAAATCGAACATATATGGTGTATTTTACCCCTCTATTGATCTACCCAGTGCAAATTTAAATAAGTCAAGCCAGTAATATAAACCACAAATATTCGAATATATATTCCCGCTATAAATCAATTCGATTTCCACTTCATATCCCTGAATTCATTAGAGTTAGCTTAATGAAATGACGTTAATACCCTCGGAAACTTGCTACATGTGAACTGATTTCAAGGGCAAATAGTGTCAAATAACTAAATTACGATTCTGTTACAGTTACCAGAAACAGAGCTATACATACACTAAAAACGGTTACTATTTTCTTTTTACCCAAACTACCCCTCCCTGTCTCTGATCAGTGATCAAGAGAAATCTATCTTACAACTTACAAGTATATATATATATATGAAGCTCTTACATCTTCCATTATAGCAGAGCTCATAATTTCTCTTTCTATGATTTTACTCTTTCTCTCTCTAGAAGAATTGGTGGAAGAATAATCAGTATCCGCAGCTCACTTCTAGCTGCTCGTTGCTGTTTCATCAGGTATCATCTTCAAAATTCTTCAATTTTTATCCTTGCATTTCTGATTCTGAATGTGTGAAGATTTCAATTATGTGTTTTCGTGCTCGATTCTGTGTGCATTTTTGCTTCTGATTTCATTTTTCGCTACTATGGTAGATCCAGTTCTATGTAATACTTGCTAGAAAAGTGAGAACTTTTAGAGAGCTTGGGTAATAGAATGATCGTGATTCGTGAATTTTCATCCATGTACGCGTATATATGGGAGGAAAAACTGTTTAAAATTGAAATGATTTGCTCTGTTTACATCAGAACAGTGAAGTATTGTTAATTTTCATAGCAACTTTTAGAAGTACGTTTGAGTTTTTGTTTACTGTGTAATGAGAAGTAAAAGCGAAATTTCGAAGCAATATTGTTGAATCTCTGTTCGGATTGTTGTTATCGAATTGATGCGATTTTTACAAAATTAGAACGAAAACAACCGGTTGAATTTGTTTCGATTAGTATGTAGAATGCGAATTGTGAAATCAGTTTCACTCTGAGTTTCAGTAGGAAAAAGAGAGGACTTTTTACTGAATTTATCATATTCAAATGCTAGTATATAGAAAACGAATTGCTTATTTTTGAAGCACTGATTGAAAACGTTTTCTACGTTTTACATCTGCAGCAACTTGCACAAAATCAGCGTGTAAAGAAACACGTTGATTTTGAAGCAGACGAGAATGCAGAGGGAAATTTCAACCGCCGGCCGCGGAGGCGCGTTCAGCTACGACAACGGACTGCCATCGCCGTCGGTACTCAGCCAGCCTACCGCCTTCGATCTAACCTCACTCTACTCATCGATGTTCTTCCCACCTACCGGACTGTTACTCGACGACAGTCAACCGTCAACAGAGACAACAGTGACGCCGGTACTAACACCTCGATTCCGTCAAAATCACAGCTCTCAATTGCTTATCGACCAGCATTATCAACAAGATCTAATGGATCGTCACAACAGAGTGTTATCTCAGCTCCTTGAAACAGAGAAGAAAACTCTAGCTCTTCGTCAAGAGAACATCAATTTGAAAATGGTGAATTTCAATTTGAACAATCGACTGTCCTTGCTGCTGAAAGCTTCTTCGGATTATGGGCCTTCATCGGGTTTGGGCCTGGATAATGGGCTGAGGAGGATGCATGTTGGTGTTGGACATGAAGAGGAAACATCCAGTGATGAGCATTCATGGGAAGACGTAGTTGCGGATCGTCATCTAAGCCCAACTAGCGTGATGGACTCGGGTCGGGCAGATGGAGTGGATCGGGTACTATTACCCAAGAGTATTTCAGTACGTTCTAATGGTTACTTGAAAACAAATCATGCTGCTGGTGGAAGTAGGCCACATATTCGGACCAAATCATCATCAGTCAACACAGCGGTACATATTTCTTCTATATTGCAACCTTATTGATGATTCATATAGTGAACTAACAATAATACCAAATTCAAATCACGAGTGTAGTTTGGAAGGCTAATGTGTACACAAATCTAACTTTATATCGTAAAGATAGAGTTCGTTTCTAATAGACTCTCGACTCAACTAAAAGAAAGAAAGGGAAAGTTTCAACATATAGTACAAATACATTATGCCCATAGACAAAGATTCCACTTTAATATAGTGGTAAGATCTGCGTACATTTTACCTTCTCAGACCCTGCTTTGTAGGATTACACTGGATTTGTTGTTGTTGTAGATGGTTACATTGCATTAACAAAATTTGAATAAAAAGGAATGCTTACCTTCTATCTAGCCAATAAGTTTTCTAGGCTATATCATAAAGATGGCATACCACAAAGTGCATCTATTTTCTTGTGTTCTTGAACTTTTTACCCTGTTGAAATTGTTTAGAATCACATTTTCAGCCCAAGAAAATTGACATGGTATTAATTTGTTCAAGGCCTAAATCACATGTTTTTTGTGGTGATAACTCAGCAAAGGGTATATGTGAAAGGAGGAAGCAAGAAGGAAGAGGAACCACTTGAATTAGATGTTTACAATCAGGGCATGTTCAAGACTGAACTGTGCAACAAATGGCAAGAAACAGGGGCATGTCCATATGGAGACAACTGCCAATTTGCTCATGGCATTGAAGAGCTTCGTCCTGTCCTACGCCACCCACGCTACAAGACTGAGGTATGCCGTATGGTCCTTAATGGTGATCCTTGTCCTTACGGCCATCGCTGCCATTTCCGCCACAGTCTTACTGACCAGGAGAAACTCATGAGATCACTCAACAGTAAAATGAGATCAAACTAATAGTGTAATAATTTGAGGCTTAAATTGAAAGATGTGTTTATAACAAAGTAAAATAATTGAATGAATGCACATTGAGAATTAAATTGACTCTGTAAGTAAAAGAATAATTGCATCACAAGTACTCAAGAGAGCAGGATGGTTGTGAATTGTGACCATAAAGAGAGTGGCTTGATTGCATACAAGGTGAAATGGTAAAAGGGCAAATTATTTTCTTGTAATTCTGTTTACGTTAATGTGGTACATTTGTTGATACATAATGATACTTCTATGGAAGTGTTTTGTTTGTTTCGTCTCTTCCAATGCCTAGATAAAGACTCCTTTAGTAATGAATGATTAATTCCTCCAACCATATGTCTTTGATTGTAATTCAAATGTTGATTAGGTTTCATCACTATTCATTACCTTGTTAAAATAAAATTATACTTAATGGTTTTTAACTACTAATCCTATTAATCATATATCATCATTATGGTTTTCGGAGAACTCGCATCAACTTAGATAGCTTAAGATATAAGTACAACATCAACATATTCAGTATCGTCCTACAAATAAGACTAAGATTAAGAAAAAATATAAGATGAAGCAATGCAACAACCATTAGAGGTAATATTAGAAAACAGTCATGTACTTGGTTATGTACATATTCAAAATCCATTTGATAAGATTGTGCACCAGAAACATGCAACTTGACTCTTAAGATAACCACATATAATCAATTTGTTTGTCTACAGCACCAACTCTCGATCTCCTCATCATTGAAGTAGAATATTGTGTTTCAAATTAAAGTCTTTATCTTGATTAAATATGTTAAAAGAAAGAGTTCATTACCAAAAGGTTTCAACAATTTAATAACTCAATTGAATTAGCAAAACTACTACTTCTATTTAGTTCCTGTTCACTTTTTTACTTGTCCACTATTTCAAAATTTTGATAAGATTGTTCATTTTTAATACCATCAACAAAAGATAAATATTTTTTTCATGTCTTAGCTTTAGCATTAATTACTTCTTCTCCAAATTATTTTACTACACCTAATACTAAAATTTAATTAATAGATATATTATGGTAAATAATCATGTCAGTCACTATTTCTTAATGAGCATGTCTGTCTCTGAAAATATTAAGTAAAAATGAATGAAGAAAGTAATTACCAAAAGGAGAAATAGCCCATTTTTAAGGCATGACCTTCTAGGAAGAAGAGGCCCATGGGACCATTCCATTGAGGAAGCCTAGATAGCGAAAGGTTATTTTTCTAAAAGAAAATGGCGAAAACTATGTAAAATCACGAAGCTGATAAACTAAGCTCGAGTAAAGATCAAACCCGAAAGTTAAAAGAAATGAAAAAGGAAATCATATTAAGATGTAGTAATACTAACAAAAACAAAAACCTTTTTACATCATTATCAAGTGCTACAAAAGAGCTTCTTATCAATGCCCTTCAAAAACAAAACAAAAAGGAAAAAAATATTAATTTCCTAAAAAAAAAATACTAAAAGTAATCCCACAAAAGTGAAAAGAAAAATAAAAAAAAGAAAGAAAAAAAGTTTAATTTTCATCGTCGACCATTAACACTCAGTTTAACGAGAACCAAGCAAGTAAATCCCCAGCAACGCGCCGCCGCGCTCTCACCACGCGCTCACCGGAGACCGAAGTCGACCGGCAAAGTGGACAGTTGAAATTTAGCGTATTGAACCACCCATCTAAACACTCCATGTGAAACACGTGCCGGCAGGCTAACTTGCGAACCCGGTCTCCATCACCCAACCGGTTCAAGCAAACCACACAGGTACTTGAACCGGAACCGGTTTTTTCATCCTGTTGCTGTTGATGATGATAAGATAACAACCGGTTCAGATTAAGCTGATCGGCGAGGAAAATAACGCCGGTTAAACCGGACCCGACCGCTTCGCAGAACGAATCGTCGATTTGATGAGGGGTAAATCGGGAAGAAGAGATGCCAAGAAATTGAAGGAAAGTGTAGATTAAGGAACGGAGATAATTAAGAGAATTAGCAAAAAGGGTTATCATTAATATTGGAATTGATTCAGTAGAAATGTCACTAAGCTGGTTTTGTAATCCCATATTTTGGGATAATACTATTATTATGGTTTTAGAATTTGCTTGACACTTTTTTCTTTCTTTCAAATGGAAAAGGAAAAGTGGATATATATATAGTGTTATTTTGTGGGACTTGATTGGTTGGGGGGTTGGGGGTGGAGGGGGGTGGTG